GGGAGGGTCAGTTGCATGTACCCATCCGAAAGCAAAACACAGTGAGTTGATCCTCAAAAAAAGAAAAAGAATAAACACGACGGATAATTAATGATTTCTCAAGGCGGTCTATCCTTGAGTGTGCCCAACCCGCCAATTCTTCGTATTCGGCAGGAACTTGCATCAAGCAGCAGCAGAGAAGGATGCTGGCCAGGGTATATTCCAGCCAATCCAAGCCACTGCAAACCACACACTCACTCACTCGCACTACACACACTCGCTCACACACACTCGCTCACACACACTCATGCACATTCTCACCCAACTTTGGCGTGCTCAACCAGTCAGCTCCTTGACCGTTTGAACCCTCCACAGGAACAGCATAGAAATCGAGATGATGGCTTGTGGCGACTGACGCCAGGAGTGAGATATGACGCGCTGCGAACATGAACCCAACGGCTCCGAGGCATACCCTTGGAAAGGCCCGTTACGTTGGATGAGAGGGCGGTCCTGTTCATCAACCCACCACCTTCTCGCCTTTGAATGCCTCAACCGCCGCCTTTCACGATGCAGACTGGATTGCCACAGCACCTGTCAGCAAAAGTGACAGCACATGGAGTATAGGCAGGGGTACGCCGAAGCGAGCATGTCAAGGCCCAATATCAGCATGGCCCCTGTCATCTCACGCAATTAAGCTTATCAAGGACCACACTGCCTGGACTCGCCGCTCAACTATCGATATCGCAATTGCACTTTCTATCAGAATCTCGCCATGTTGGCGTCTCGCCGAATCAAGGCCTCATCCCCCGTCGATAGCATGCTTACGCCCGTCTTATTCTCACCAATGAGGCCAAACCTGGTACGCTTGTCGAGTCAAGCCTACCATCTGTCGACGGTGCAGCACATATAAGCTTTTTGTCTGAATTCTAGGCTTCCGCAGCAGCCACACTGGGCCACAGCCCACACCTCATTTTCCTCCCTTTCTCCCCCACTAGCCCAGCTCTTTACGTCCAATCAGCGACGGGCGATGTTGGGATGGCAGATATCGTGGCTAAAGTGACAATTTCCACCCAAGTGAGGATAGGGGGTAACGCAACTTTGGCGCGCTCTTATTTCCAGGAGAACACTACGCGGCCTCTCTACTCGCTTCGCCTCTAGCTACGACCATTTTCCGCGCACGCACTATCCGCTCATTGAAAACAGAGAGGTAGACTATAATAGGGGGAGAGGGGTGAATGAGAGCGAGGTGGGCTCTCCAGACTTGTCGTTGTCAAAGTCCAATATCGTCCAGGGTCTTCAGCCGCAGCCGCGACGACACTACCTGTACAACGATGTCCCAGGCGACTCGCGCCATCAATTTCACCTCAATCCGCCCTCCGCATGTCCGCGTCGACCGGCTCTGGACCATAAATGTCCGCGTCGACCGGCTCTGGACCATCGTCGACTGACGCGTGCGACTTTGTCCGTGGACCGTTGTCACTTTGTGTCTCACACTCTTCTCTATTCCCAGAATAGCAGTGTCATCCATGCTGTCGGGTGCGAGCATTTCCCGGTCGTCAACCATAGTCTTTTCCACTATCAAGTTGCAGGCTTCAGGTCCTCAATCACACCTTTCGCACCCCTTGTCGAGATAAGACTCGACTGTGATAGCAAAGCAGGATTTCGCAATCCTCCAGGCGGCGGAAGCATGTTGCCGGCAGCCGACTATCTCACCTTAACCGTTCAAGTCCTGCTGTGGCCTTGCAGTCTGCTGTAGAGATGTACTCGACTCATCTGCCGAGCATTCAAGCGAGCAACTTTGGCACCGCGGCTCCAACGCACACGCACGCACCGCCCGCCCACTTACACGGCCAGGATCACGACAGGCCTGCCGTCCGGTGTGACTGACAGCTCACCCTTGACGGCAGTATGCCGGCGACAGCGGCACGCCTCAGCTCCTATCTTTTGTCCCCATTCAGGTTGTTGGGAAAAAATACTACCCGTAGCTTGATCTAGCTTGTCGGCGAAATTCCTCGGGTCCCGGTGATCTTCCGACCCACCGGCATGGGTAGATGGATTGTGGGCAGTCAAAAAATCGCGGGCGGATCCTTCGGAGAGAAAAACGTGAACGACCCCTTGTCGGGCTGTGACCTTGTCTACGGAGAGTATCCAGGCCAGGCCGGCCCAGACCCATACGAATTGGATACCTCGAAAGAGGCCGCACAACGAGACGTGTTTGCAATCCACTTCTGGCAAGAGGAAACAAACCATCGAAAAGCTCCATCAGCCCATTTTTCAAGCTGAGGTCAAGGCGGCGTTTCTCCATCGTTTGTCCATCGCAAACCCCAGGACAAACGAATTTACACGTGTACGAAGACCCTGGGATGCGGGACATTCCCTGCTTATAGCAATCGCTCCGGTATCTTGCCCCCGCCAGATTTGCCCACCGTGTCAGAGGTGTGTATCTTGTGGCGACCTGAAGGATCAAAGATGAACAAGATCTCATACCAAGAAAAGGGTCCGTGGCATAGTAGGCGACGTCAGCTTGTGTCTGTGACAAAACGAACAGTCGGGAACTCGTGTAAATCGGCAACGACGGCTGGACCCAGTATCGCTAATCGTGGGCCGCCCGCGCACAAAGATTGTGCTGTGCTGCCCAGCCTTGCCGCGATTCCGGGCCTGGGACCGTCCGGTTTTCTTTCACTTCACGGCTCGCACCGAAAGGTTCTGTGACAAAGGAAGTCGGGAGCCGGGGCAGCTCGTATTTGCGCTTGCGTCGCTTGTGTAACGCGACGCATGGCCGTATCGGACGCCATGCGCAAAATATTACATGTGGTAACATGCATTCAGCAGTGAGCGAGATACATCACGTTCGCATCAAAAAATTCCGTCCGTAAACTGCAGCACAGCCTCGAGACTGAGAGCCCTGGAGAGTCTGCTCTTCGGTCGGCAACCCTCGCCCGGGAGAGTAGCAATCTCTGCCGGGGCTCCCTGATTCCCAAGCAGTCGGGCACTCGCCAACTGGCCAAGTTCCCATTGTGCAGTGTTGGTGCGGGATTCTGTACGAATGCTCCATCGGTGGATGAGGGGGAACAGAACAAACAGCCCCTCTCATCCATAAATTCATCAACACACTTATCATACGGATCCTCGCAAAAGTACCAATTTTCCATCTTCGCACTCTTGTTCGTTATTCCCGCGATGACCGAGTCCCACCGAATCAACATCGCATCACTTATCCGTTCCCTATGAAGTAACAGTGAGTCTTCAATCATTACTGAGAGCCCGAGGCTATGTGTGGGTGTGATCGACCGCTACCACATACCATATCTAATGGATCTTTCTTATCCCATTGATGAGTGGAAATGCTGTGGATCTGGGTGGTATGTTCACCACTTTTTTCCCATAAGCTTGCTCATAACCTTGTATTTTCATTGTTGTCCTTAGACTTGAATGATTAAATCCTTCTGGTTCCCACTTTATGTGATGAGGATCGAGATTGGCGGCCGCTTCACCTTGGGGCTCTCCATGGTGAACTGAGAGGTATCCACTGCGGTGACCCCAAGGTGTCATCGACCTGAAGCTCACCTTGAACCTGAACTTGTGGGTTCTACCAACACCTTGGGATACTACTGCTTTGATACACGGACGGCTCTCACGACAAATTGTCCGTACATGGAGACATCGTAGAAACAGAGACAGCCAAGGGCTCACGGACAGATTCTGAGCCCTGTTTCTCCCGGTCAATCGGGGCTGCCATCTGGTGTATTCGCCCTTACGGCGTAGAGGTTCATCTTTCCAGCTCTTGCTCCTCATCACACAGAGATAGTACTTATGTTTGATCACACTGATGACGCAGAAGGGATGCCATGTTCGACTCACGGCAGATCTGGTATAAGACACGAAATGACATCGCCACAATCAATCAACCATCCAGTACCCCCAAGACAAACCTCCCCCATGCTCTATCCCTCGCTCCACGAGGTCTTTCTTCAACTCTATATTTGATGCGGGACAGTCTCACACACACACATCCGGTTCGGAGGGAAGGGGGGCGAATTGGTCTCATTCGTGACTTACCCCAGCTTGTGCAGCCCGAGACCTATGTTTAAGGAAGAAAAAAAAAAAAGAAGCAACATGCACAACAGATTCGCAGGGCCTAGTCATCTTGTGTATCTGTAACACTGAGATCTCCGCTGCCTTAATGAAAGGCTGATGTTTTTAATGAAGTTCTCAATCTTATTATATCCATTTCAGTGCGCCTTGCCGAAATCAAAGGAGGATGCAAATAAAGTACAGATATTGGAGGGCAAATGGCTTTCTGACGGGAACGAAGGTTAGCAAAGCAAGAAATGCCGGATACTAGCAGATGCCCAGTGGTGCCGGTGGCAAGGCCCTGCGCCCGAACAATCACCAGAAAGTAGCATTGCATCCAGTGTCATCAGGAAAACCTGGCAAAGGTAAACAAGACGTAAAAAAAGACTCCGCGACGATCCATCCAGGATGGTGATTTGATGAGCTACGGCCGGCTCCCAAGGTCCCCAGTCTTCCGACCCTTGATTCTTGGCTTCAGGCTGTCACAACTGGGTGTTGCTGCCACCCGACGCTGTAATAATGCACCAGTCGCCTGCCGCAGGGTTGTCTTTTCTGGGTTTGTCGATTCTAGGCCCTTGTTGTACAGGTGTTGGCCGGGCGCTGTGATAAGTCAGCCAACTCAAGGCAGAACTTGGAAGTGTAGCATCTGCAGACTGTGGGAGCCACGGCCCACGAACAGTCAAGGTGAGTAGCATGCGCCGTCTGACAGCAGCTGGCTGGTGTCGGTTACAGTGGTGGTGATGACTGCATCGGCCATATACCTGCCTTGAGTCTTGAAATGCAGGGATCTCAAGCTGCCGGCAGTGGCAAGACTCTGGTGTTAGCTGCCTCTTGGAAGTGTTGAAGCTTGGAAGTTATCAGCCAAGCTGCAGATAACCTTACTGTGGGTAAGAATTGTTTGAATCATACGAAATTGGTTATGTAAGTTTTCAAATTCATTAGATGGTAATATGTTTGCATCTCCCAATATCCTAATCATAACCCAAGATATTGTCATCAAATACATGTGCTCAAAGCACCTGGGTGAGTAATCCCAAGTTGGTATTCCAGAGTAATCGCCTTCCGTTGTAAAAGCCGCACCGCGCGCCCGTCATCTATCCCAATTGTGCATGTAGCCGTCTATATGTAAATGTGCGAAAAGTTCAAAAAGAGAAATGGCCATTCGAGCGGGCTTTTACAGCTCCTCGTTGCCGTCGCACTGCTGCCACATGGAGACCTTCTGGACAGTGAGCTCGGGCTGGGTCCACGTGGGGTACCACTGGTCGCGAGCATTCCAGAAGTCCTTCTTGGCGTTGGGGCTGCTTCCAACCCACGGCTTGCCAGACTGGCCATCCTCGAACCAGCCATTGGTACCGCCGACGGCCACGTTGATGATGAGGTAGAACTTCTGGTCAAAGGGAGTGTTGGAACGGCCAGTTTGACTCCAGACGTCCTCCAGGCGGGAACCGTTAGAGTTGGTCTGGGGGAAGTCACCACGCTTCCACATGGGCTCGTCAAAGTTGGTGTAGAGGACCTGGAGCAGACGACTGTTGACGTAGGTGAAGAGGTACTTCTGGGACCATTCCAGACCGAAGGTGTTGAACTCATCACCATAGGTCGTGTGCAGAGCCTGACGCTTGTTGTTGGTTCTCCACCAGGCATCGTTGGCCTGGTCGGGGCCCCAGTGCAGAGCAGAGGAGACGATGTTGTTACCGCCCTGAGCATAGGTCCAGTTGTTACCGCGAGACTCCATGATATCAATCTCACCCGAAAGGGGCCAAGCACCATAGGTATCCTCGACGGGCATCATCCAGATAGCGGGCCAGAGCCAATCACCCTTAGGCAGCTTGGCGACAACTTCAACGCGGCCATACTTGAGGGTGGCACCCTTCTTGGTGTTGATGCGACCAGACTTGGTAGGGGGAACAATGGAAGAGTTGCCAGAAGTGGTGTTGGTGGCAGTTACACAGGCGGAGAACTCTGTGGAAGTGCAAGTTCCGTCCTTGAGCAAGTCAATCTCGGTGTCCTTCTCAATGAGAGCGGAGTCTTGGAGAGTGGGACGGATGACCAAGTTGCCGTCCTTGAGGAAGACGTTCTCGTTGTCGGCAGTGGTCATCTGGAATTCGCCATTGCTGGAATTCAATTAGCGTGATGCGGGGTGAGAGGAATGTAATCAAGGGAACGTACCCAAAGCCGCCGACTTGCACCTCCTGGGTCCAGATGTTTGTGTCCAGACTGCTGCCGGAGAAATCCTCAATGAGCACGGGGCAGTACTTGTGCTTGACGACACTTCTGATACCGTCCCAGACGAGGAAGCCAGAGACGGCGAGACCAATAAAGATACCGACAATAGGAATGATGGTGACCCATTTCTCCTTGGGGTCGGCCTTGTCCAACCAAGGCTTCTCGATATCCTCCTTGCGGATACGTCTGGAGTGAAAGTACCGCTGGGATCGCTCATCGAAGCGTGCGCCGATGGCACTGGACGAGCCGAAGCTCGAGGCAGGTCGGGAAACGGCAGGCGTGCCGAATGGGTTCGTGCCCATTGGTGTACCGGCCATGGGCCCTCTCTGAGAAGCTTGGGACTCGACACCATCGCCAAAGGGATTACGGCTGTTTTCAGTGTTGGGCGTGCCGGGGCGAAGAGGGGTTCCGGTGGCAGTGGTGGCCTGTGAAGGCAATCCAGCTGCTGGGCGGGAGTAGTAGCCCTGGTTGTACTGGTCCTGATCCATGATGGGTTATGGAAGAGGGTTGAGGTTGGCGAGACAAGTGAATGGCCTTGCGGCTTGATGCGGAGGAATAGGACTTGTTCCTCGAGGTAGTCGACGGTAAGCAAGCGTGGGTATAATGAATGTAAGGCCGCGAATCGTCTATGGATTTGCCGGTTGTCGCAATGCCAGTGCAGATGAGTAAATCCTCGAGACGGCAGCGAGAAAGAGCGGCAAGGGAAAGATTTGTAGTGTTCCCAACGACGGACAAGGCGAAGGAGAGAAGAAAGAAATCCCAGCTGGGCTTGAAGGAAAAAGGCGAGACCGGGGAGGTAAAAGGCAAGGTCAGGGACTCAGGTCGCCGCCAACAGGAGAAGACGCAGGTAGATCAAAGGCGCTCTTGCTCCTCCTGGGCGAGCTAAGATGAGGAAGGTCAAGTGCGATTCGGGTACCTCTGCCAATGTACTTTTTTGCCCATTCTGCTCATTCTGCTTATTTTGGGAGGTGTAACCTTTGACAGTGCGTATCTCACCCAGTTTCGCTTACTTCATACAGTACAAAGGATAGCTCAATTCAGCGCTTGACCCGCTGCCTTACAGTGGAACTTCAGCCGTCGAGACCCCTAATTCAGCCACGGTGGAAATCATCAACCAAGTCCGCGCACTGTACGTACCGAAGTCCTTTTCCTCCTCCCACGTTCGCTCGCACACCCCTCAGCAGTCTTTTTTCGTCGCGTCTTCTTGCTCCTCTCTTCCTCCCATCGTCTTCTTCTTCTTCTTCTGCCTCTCCACGTACCACCACCCCCGGCGCCCCTCCCCGATCGCCTTTCAGCTTGCCCACCTCCTGTCGTTAACTTTGGATCCGGTCTTTTGCTAGTTCGGACGGGGCCGCATTTGTTTCTTTCACAAACACTTCGACGACGACAATCCTCGTTCGTTTCTTCGGCCTCCCCATCGCCCTCACCTCGATCAATCCAGACCTGAAGCACTCCAGTCCCGCTTCGTCTGGTCTGGTCTGGCCTCGCCGTTTGCCCAATATTACCACCCAAGATAGTCTTGACACGCACCATGGGCTCCATCACCCACCAAACCTAAGTATGCATCTCGGCGCTTCTTGTTCAGCTCTCGCCATGTACGCCGCCTTGAACGGAGCAGACCTCGCAAGAATAGTCAAGGATCACTATCTCATAATGCCCTCCGGCACCGCAACTACGGCCAACACGAAACCTCACTATTGAAACACTGCAGAACGCTTCACCTTCAGCCCTGAGCATATAATGGCAGCATCGCAAGTACCGACTGCTCTCGGTCTCCCTCAGTCTCCGCCTGCCAGCAGCACCCCTTGGCCCTTGCCTGGCCCGCTTCCCGTCTTGCCGTCGTTACCTTGCTTCCTCGGGCGGGTTGGTTCCAGTTCCCTATGCTTCTCGGGGCACAGCTCACCAAAGAGCAGCAACTGTACTCCGTATCCACTGTGTACGCAGGTGGCCAGGAAAAGCAGCAAGAGATTTGCCCATGCGGCTTGTTCTAGTACGCTCGTTAGCTCAGTGGCGTGCATGCATCGGCCAGTTCGCTCAACGATGCCCTTGTACCTGCATTAAAGCCCCTGTCTGCTCTTATGCTGGCACCCTGGTCCTTGACGTGGTCGCTGGTCGGACGAAAAAGACACGATAAGGGATGCTACCTATTCAGGACTAGTTCCAATAGCGCCCGACAGTATTGAGCCGGTCTGTCATGGCCCGTCTTGGCCCCCTCCTGGCCTCCCTACCGCAATTTCCACCGTCACGTCAAGACCGTCGCCGTCGTGTCGCGATGGCGTCAAAGCTCAACTCGAACCATCTCCTATCCAGGTGCCAGACACAGACTCGGCCAGCGTCCAAAGGCCCACCGCGCGCCTGTTGTCTTGGCTTACGGCATCTCACCAAAAGCCATCGTCCTGGCCCCAATACGAGACTGAGCAAACAACCTTCAGCTGAAGTAAGGTAGTGTAGGCCTCCCGGGGCCAAAGCCAAAGCTCAAGCACACAGCAGCTCCGTGTCAAAGAGCTGCAGAATATCGGACGATGATTTCCTTGGAAAACCATTGCTTACACCATTTGGTGCCAGCAGGTTGACCAACCAGATGAATCATACATTCAACTCACTCAAAACATCTTCGAGATTTGACATCATCAACACTAGCTCAGAGGCCTTCTACAATGAGACCAAGGATACAACATAAACGATGCCCTTGCCCTTTCCCATGGAGCACTTTACATAGTCGTGCTCTGTCCCAGCAGCTCGGACGATCCGCCTTGGAAGTTGGAGCTGAATTCGACGATCGGCAAGGAGTGTGCTTCTAGCTCCCCGATGTTTCCCAAGGGTGGCGAGTAGCAACTGAGGTCAACTTGTTGATCGCGGCCTCGAGAGTGCTTCTACCGGCCCCGCCGTCGGATGCTCCATGACACTTCCGACTCTGAGCTCCAGTATCCTTGGTTCTATCCCTACGCTAGGAAATTCCATTGGGCCCATCCTCGGAAGATCGACGCCTCCGGGACGGACCCCGGCGAAGCGGCGGTTGTCTTTCTTTGTCTCGTTAATACAACCTTGCCTTTTATGGTGACCCGGTAAACCCAACTCGGGAGCGCTGCCTTTGTCGGTGTCAAGATATGGCAAGCCATCTCCAAACTGATACAGTGAACCGATACAATGACAGCTGTTCAGCCTCAGTTTCTATAACGCACATTCATCACGTTCAGGGCTCTTGCCGGTTATCTTGCAGGAAGACACCTGCAATGCAAGTGTAGTCGGCACGTTGGCAGGCCTCAGACAAGCAAGAGGGCCGATTACACTGCATTTAGCATGCGTTAGCGTCTCAATATCGGCCAGCCGAGCTGATGTTGCTATTCTATCACAGTACGGCAATCCGTGAGGAGACCATGGACAGAATTTTGTGGCCCTCTCATTCGTCGCATTAGACCATATCCATCACCTTAGGCTTCATTCATCGAAATTCAACGGGCGTATGTTCCGTCGGGCTTTTTCTTTCCGTAGGGAATTATCTCGTGCGGCAGCACTCCCCAACTGAACCCGTTCCGCGGAGTCGGTATGTCTCAATGCTTTGGTTACAGTACATGTGTTGAGCTATCGTCACGCGGCTTGTAAGTGGCACGCTCTGGAACTACCACTGCCGAATCAGCACGTGAAGCCATGCCATGCTGTGCGATAACCTGTTGCTTGCCTGTCGATAGGATGTTGCGCGGGCTTTAGCTCGTCCATCACAGGACTACTCCAACAAACATACTGCCATTCATTCTGAGCATGATTGTGTTTTGCCACACACCTCAAGAAGGTTTTGTCGACGTTGCATCGAAGTCTGACGCTTGAAGGTCTCGCAGCGCAATGAGCCCATGAGCATGTCGTTCAAGCCGTTGGTGTGGTGGCTGGACGAGCCAGTCAGTCGCCGTACAAGCTCATCAACCCCGCCTTTTGCAGGCCGACATGGCTGCCCCTCCTTCTCGTGTTCTACGTTGGCTTCGATTCCACCCGGCCAGTCAGGCTTGCAGCTCGCCTAACCGGTTATTTTAGGAAGAAAAAGGCGCCTGCATCGAGAAGGCAAAGGAACCCCTACCCTCCCGACGCCTCCCCCTCTGCCCACCACGTCAATCTGCGCAAGTCTCGCATTGGGGTTGGCTTAGAGCTGGTGACCTGTGGTCCAATCGAGCAGACTTCGCAGCTCGTAAGTCTGGGCCGTTGTGCCGTTATCTTGGGGCAGAATGCCAGCCAGAACGTATGTTTCAGTTGAGGCAACAGCCGAAGGCGCAACGTCCCATCGTCCGTATCCAACCTTTGTGCGTGTAAGCTTGTCTGCTGATATTCACTTGTCGATAATAGCTGTTTTTGTGCGGCTGATGCGTTGTTATCGAGAGATCGAGAGGCATACAATTTGTTGGGTGGTTGACCCAGGCTAAGTCATCTGCAGCTGTGCCAAGGCAGAAATTGACCTTTTGGTCGACAGCAACCCTACTTAGATGAATAGCTTTTGGTCGCTGCAGGCAGAACAGGGGACTCTGCATGCAATGCATTGACTCTCTACAGGAGGGCTAAAAGGCCCAAATCCCGGGCGAGCTGGACAGCTGGGCGTGCATTCTTGCGACTTTGCCACGCCCGAAGCAGGGTCTCTCGCTGTACCCGGTGATCTGACAGATGCTGGCGTTCTGGGTATGTGCTGGCCGGTTGACAATGGGAAAGTGTGACTTGGCTAGTGTGGCGAGATGTAGGCATGTGGCGGTGGCCTTGACTTGCTGTGATGAGATTGTGCCAGTGCCAGTGGTCTTATTGGTAGTACCGCTTGATAAGTATTTGTCCTCAAAGATGCAGTTGTCAAGGTGACAATGAACTGAGACGAGCTTGGCGTACATTGAACGGTCGGATTGCTTCCAATAGAGTCATGGCTTCGCTTTTCAGTCTCATAGCCTGTAAGGTTGACTGTTGCAAGGTCTCACTTGTCGAGCTGTAGCCCGAATAATTCGAAAGATGGCATATCGAAATCAACAGTCTTGGTCTGCTGATGATGCAGGTCTGATATATTACATGCAAAAGCTTATTGCTAGATGCAGTATAGATGAAGCCGTGAAGTACCGTCATACTATGTACACACAGTGTTGTTATCTTCCGGTTTCTTCGGGATAGAATATCTCGTCGTGCGTCACCTGATTTCGTACGTGTTCTGGAGTCATTCATTCTGCGAAGAACCGTATCATAAGTCAGAGCCTAGCCATGAAACATAGATTAACTTCGGATATTGCAATGAACGATACCATCAAGGCTACTTGAAGCCTTCCTGATTATTGCCCAGGGTTAGTTCCGAGCACGATGCCTATTCTTGGCTGTCCAACGAGTCCATCCTGAAGTCCCATCTAGTACCTGAGTAGAGTTCGGAGACGAGATGGTTGAGGCGACCCGGCAGTTTGTGATCGAGTTAGTTAGCAGTAGTATTAGCAATACTTAGATGGCAAGATAGTCACTGGCCTTTCATGAAGGAAACGCATTGAGAGTAAGCCCACTGCACAACAAGACTACGTTGGATTGAAAGGATATAAGAGGAATGTCATATTTAGCGGAAAGTTTTTTCCCACCTTATGGTACACGTAGAAAACTCCGGTCTTGAAGTTCGAAAGCTTTTAAAGATTAGCAAGCAATGGTTATCAATGTTGGAAATGAAAGTTGGCCTAGACAACAGACTTCATTTAGTTGTGAGTCACCAGCAACTTGGCGTGTCTGGAAACGCCGTGAATATCGTCGGCCGAGTATCAAAGGTGTAATCAACCCAGATTTGGTTCTGGGACATGAAGTTAACTTGGCAATGCAGTAGACATGCATTT